GAGGTACTGTTTTTACGTTGTTGATAACCTCTTGTGCCACTATATTATACACTTGTATCTTGGTATTACACACTTTTGTAGACTCCTTTTGTCCTTTTTTTACTACGTGTAAATAGCTCTGTCCTTCCTCTTCGTGATACCCAAGGGGCTGTTCCCTTTGGTTTTGGTCCAATACAGATGGTTTCTGTACGTGGCTTTCCCCCCCCACCTCTCTCTCACTTCCTCTGTTTTTGGTTTTTTCGGGGGTTATTTTTTATTCTGGTCTCTCTTGCATAGTATATTTAAAAATAAATCATTGTTGAGGAAAACCAGGAGCGCGTTGGTGTCTTGTTGAGGGGGTTGTTGGCCCCAGTGGCTTGTCTGGCAGGTGATGTGCCCTCCCGAGAGCGGACTAGAAGCACATTTGCTTTGCGAGGACTCATGGAGGCCTTCAGTGCACCGTGCTGATCATGCCCGGGGGACAGCGAGCTCCTGGGACTGTTGGAGCTGGTTCTCAAATGCATCCGAGAAAAGCAAAAGATGTACAGAAGAAAGACCAACACGGGCCTCATTGGCAGCTGGAGATGTGCTGTTCACATCCGTGAGATCCATACGTGGCCCCGGGCTTTCCTCCCTCTGTCACCAGTGCACGTTCAGGCTCTGTCCTTGGTTCCTTGTGGCTGGCGTGCCCCGTTCTTTAGCCAGACAGCTTGGCTTCTCCCTACCTGGTTCCTGTTTCTGCCTTTCATGAAGCCCATGTTTGCAAGTCAGGAGGGGCTCTGCCTTCCTCCTGGTCAAATCCCACAGGTCTCTGAGCCCATAGACCTCATTTCTGAGAAACAGAGACAATGCTGCTCCCAGGAGGGTGCCCGCCTGGTGCTAGCTCCCGTCTCCCTTGGTGCGCACGTGGAAACACCCAAGCCCTTAAAGGTACTTTTGACCCTTGGCGATGTTAGCCATGCAGCGGAGCATGAACCAGCCTCTCTTTTGGCTTGCGTGTGCCACCTCCGAGCTTACTTACTGCCCTTGGGCCACTCCAGTGGATTCACTCCCCCATGCATCAGCATGTCATGGATCCAGCCTACCCTGGTGTGCCATTGTGCGCAACCACAGTCCTTGTCCAGATAGCTAAAGAAACAACACAAAAGGCAAGAGGGGCGCAGAGAGGAGACATGATGACCCAGGCTCACACAATGACCCAGGGATAGAGCTGTGGCTAGAAGAGTCCCCTACATCCCCATGCAGCATCCTGACTGCTGGAGATGCCTATGCACAGCGTTCCAGCTATGTGAGGTAAAAGCAAAGTTTGTTGAGCTGCAGGGGCTAATTTGCAGGTGGGTTTGTACCATTAAGCGAAAAGAAATGAGAGTCAGAGCACGCAATAGGCAATATTACTTTATTCCTGGCAATATTGGTGCCACTTCTGCCAAGCCTTGAACCAGGTTCTCTCACTAGGGCGGCATCATTTAACAGAAACATGCATGAAAGTGCAGGAAGGTTACAGTACTTCTGTGACAATGCCCCTTAGATCAGAATACTTCCCATTGACGTTGCCAGCATAAAGACAGATGCATGAACAACCCTAGGTGAGGCACTGTAATTAATGCCTTTGGATCCGCTGAGGCAGAGCCATGCAGACCAGGCAGGAGGTGGGGGATTTCGTCCCATCTGCAAGTGATATCCTTCCTGGAGATCTCCTTGTCATGGGAGAGCGGTGGTCAGCTGACCTGTTGGGCAAAGTACCGAGAAGTGCAGGGGCAGGAAGGAGGAAGGGGGATTCAGGACTAAATTTAGCCATAGCCAAACACAGTGGGAGTTGATTTAGCAGATCGATGCATTTAACAGTGTGATGGTGCCAATTTTCAGGGCTATTGAGCCTGAAAGAATGAGTACTCTGGGGAAAAAAAATTGCTTTGTGTTGTGTTGGGTGTGAAATGGTAATGCTCCCTGTCAGGCTGCCTCCAACGCCAGGCTGTCCTTTGAGCTGCAAGCTCAGCTGAGAAAATTGCTTGTCACAAAGACATGAAGCGTGGTCAGTGTTTTCTCAAGGAAGGATCCACCTATGGGGGCCGGGGCAGCCTGACCTGCAGAGAAGCTGCCAAACAAAAGGGTCAGGGAAGGGGAACACGGCTGGCTCCTGGGAGAGGTTGGGCACCAGCTGATAGCGCTGGGAAGTCGGGGGCTGTTTGTTGTCTCTGGCACCTGCCCCATTTAGCAGGAGCCCTCTGATGATCAAATACTGGGGGAACGTGTTCCTGAGCCTGTCCAGACCTTCGGCTGCCTGGAGGGCCATCTGAGAAGAATGCATGGTCAGATACTTGGGACCCCCAGGCCTTCCCCCAGATTTCATCCCCTTGGCTTGGAGGACCTGGGTGTTTGTCCGAGCAGGTAGGCTGCTAGTGAGTGAGCTTAAATACTGTTAGAGCCAGCAGACTGCCTGTCCTAGTAACTTGGCTGAAGACATCATTTGCCCTGACGGCTCTGCAGAGAAACCCAGCCCCGTGGCTGCAAGGGCAGTGGGGATGGGGGATCCAGGAATCCCCCGCACCCCGGACATGATGACAACAGCCTTGCGACTTGCTGTGTGCAGGTTGCACTGGGGCTTTTGGTTGCAGCTGCGCCCTGGGTGTTTGCACGGCTGCCCCTCTGCTCAGCACAGTTAAGACATGGTTAGACCCACCCTGCTCTGCAGCCTGTTACTGGGTCTCTCCACAGCATAGGCGGCACCCGGGACAGGTCTGCTGCCAATGTGCAGCTGGCACAGCTTGGCCAAGGCCGCAATCATGGGAGCACGGCCCCGTGTTCCCATCAGAGGGGAAGCATTGCACTGGGGCAGGGAGCAGCAGGGGGATCCCCCAGTGAGTATGGCGGGGTAGGAACCACCCAGATCCATTGAGGGACAAGGTGGGGAGGGAACAGCTACCCAGCTTCCTGGGACTCGCTGGCGGGAGAGGAACACGCAGTGCTGAGTAATGCAAGCTGTACAGCAGGGACTCTGCTCCGCTCCACTCCCACCCCACGCTTCAGCCAGGAGCTGGCAGGACCCCTCCTCTGTGGGATGCCATGATGAGCTGCCCAGTGCTTTTCTTTGCAGCACCCCTCCAAGGAAACACTGCATGCCGTGCTGGCCCTGCCACCCAGCGCTTGGCTTCCTGCTGC